GTTTAGAATTCACAGCGACTGTAGGAAGAGAGTAATGCTTAGAACGTGCACCAGTAGACACAATAAAGGAGCGGTGGCTTAAGTTGCACTGCTTGTGAGAAGGAGGGCATGAGGGCGATTGCTAGCGAAAGTTCTAACAGTTGAAGAATCGAAAGATAAAGAACGCCATGCAAATGTGCCATTACGTGGTGAAAATGGGGGGGAGTAGAGCGGTGGAGTAGACCTGGAAGTAATGTCCGGAACTCTTTGGCGACAGGCAACAATAGAGAAGTGTTTTCAGTACGGCGCGGCGCTTATCCTCCCCCTTTGGATGCCGTCAGTATGCAGCACTTTATTTGTTGATTGCATTGTCTGCCCTCGTCTGTCACTGTAGCATTCATCCCCGTCCAGTGGTAGTTCGAAAGGCCGAGTTGTGATAGACTTGATAAAAATACGTACCCATGATTTTTCGACTGCAGATCTGGCGGTCTATCGAACTTTTGTGTAGCGCCACCACTGGTATGCCCATGTCTTATTTCGACAGCCATGCTGTGGAACTGGTCCCCTTCGCTTCACACTGACTGTGGTCGACTGTCTGATCAGGGTGATCGCAGTCGCACTCCATACTTTGGTTGTGCCGCCACTTGTACAGAAGATGTCCGGTCCTGGCTTGAGCGGCAGATTCAGTTCAGGGCTGTCCATTGCTTCCGAGAAAAGTGGAAGCCTGACGGCCTCGCATATTAGAACTAAAATTCTGCCAGGCACTTCTCCACTCTTTACTAACTGGTGCCGTTAGACCTTGGGCGGTTCGCCAGGATGGTTTCTGTGATTAGATTCTAAGTGAGAGGGCGGTTCAGTTGTTGATGGATTTGTAGATTTGGCTTGCGATATTTTCATTGGCAACGTTTGCTCCTTTTGATGGTTGGTGGAGATATACTCGAAAGTACGTACCTGCGGCTAAGTAGAGAAGTATTGTGAAACGTTGCTGTAATAATTTGCATATTGTTAGTATGGGTGATACCGACGTTTCACGTGTATCTTCTTTGAGATCACACGGATGCAGCCGATTGTGATATGCTGATGTAGTAATCTCTCGTTGCGTCGCTTTTGGCAGTTCTGTTTAAATTTTTGTCGAAACCGAAAAGCGGCTTTCACTTATTATGTTTCGTATATTTTGCGGTTGTTGACAAACACAGTAGTGCATCATTATCATTTATTTAGGTTCCGGTAAAACGGCGGCGTTCCTCCTGCCCATAATCGACCATCTGCTCGATAAAGAACTTAAAAAGGTACGTTCTCAAACAGTGCTTCTGTTGCGGTAACTCCGCCTTATTTTCTTCTAACTGTAGACAACGCCGCTCTCGACAGGCTTCTATGATACCGTCAGCCCGTACAGCTTGATTTTGGAGCCGACACGCGAACTCGTTCGACAGATCTTTTACGAAGCATTGAAATTCGTCAACGGAACCCTTATCAAGGTTGCCATGCTGCATGGCGGATCTGAGAACTACAGGGAACAGATAAATAAGCTTAGAATGGTAATCGTTTTTCTTTATATCGCTTCTAGGTTTGTTGGCCTGTTTTAACGTTTAAAAATGGCTTCTACGTCCCGTTGGGTTGTTTCCTTTTTTTTATATATCCCTTTTAGGGTAGCGCAAAATAGTAAAAAGGTCGTACAGCAAGTCATGGTGATTCGAAAATCTTAATTCAAAATTTCCTTTAGATTTCAGAAAGTGCATGCGGATTTCGTACAAAAAACTTCGATAATTCAGATATCTTCACATGTAATTCCAAAAACGATTTGGTCCCGTGCTCATAATATCGATATATTTGATTCTGAATAGTCGGTCAGTCACTCACTTTCCATGACCGTTTATACCTTCCGTTTGCAGAGCAGCAGCGGTAGACACTGTCTCCAACACTCCTGATTCCCTTGCCGGCGTCGGCAGAAGATGACCCGAGTCTGGAACAGAGTCCGTCGAGGAACTTGCACCAGGTCGACGCCCGTGGGTCTTCGCCCGGTGAGTTGAAAAAAACTTTCTCCTTCCTGTCTGGAAGCATTCGCAAAATGTCCAATCCATTGCAGCTGTGACCTCACCTCTGCAAATCAAGGCATTCTCGGGTATCTGAACTCCGGGCCCCGTCGAGACGCGTGAGCCCAGCAGTTCGTCTCAACAAACCCATTTCACCCGCTTGTACCAGTGGTCGAAGTTTATCAGTCATGGCGCACGACTTATGTCCGTATGTATCATTGAATGAATATCAGCTTGAAGTCTTAATCTTTAAACTCAGCTCTGCCTTAATCACAGTTATTCAATCTGGTTCACTCAAGACGACACTGGCCGTTCCATTTCGTCGATCGATTCTCTTCTCATTTTCTGTCACAAGTAAACATGACTCCGAGATACTTGAGCTACTTCATCGCCTCCACTGCTTCTCCGCTTATTTAAAGACAGCAACGGGCTTGAGAACAAGAATGCACTAAGCTTTTCGTTTTAGGTACTTTCACACGCATGCCGGCTACGTCGCACTCTGCTGCGAACGATTCTAAAAAGCGCTGTAGGATCAGTTTCAAAAGATGTCACTAAAACAAGGTCGTCTGCAAGCAGAAACCTTCTCTTCTCGACATCTCCTACACTGATACACTGAACGACCTAGCTGCGCTGGACTATTCTGTCAATGTACAGCACAAACATGAGAGGGGACAGAAAGCATCTTTGACGGAGACAAGTGCCAATGTTGAATGTCTTCATCTTTCGACTTAATGTCATTTACTCTGACATAGTATGTGGTTTCAATATATAGCGATGATCTGATTTTTGACCACTGTCAATCGATCCCATGTTTCTGGCATAGCACGCCGGAAGTTTATTGCGCAGAATCCGGTAGTAGAATTTGAATCTGAATACAATTTTCGAAAGTAGAACGTTCGCAAAAACAGTGTATCATCGTTGATGCATCTGTATGTTACATTCACTATCTAATGTTCAATTCATTGCGTAGAACTCGAGTGATTACTCTTTACACGTTGTGACAATCGATGACAGTCGCAACAAGCTGCAGAGCTGTCCTCAGACTTATAAAATGGATTTTTACCTGTGTCTGTGTTTAACTGTCCTGTGCACACTACTGATTTTCCTCGAGAATGAATCTAGGTTCTTACTTTCTGTCAAAGTTTGAAGCCGTCATGCTAGTCAATTCGCTTTAACTGAAACAGAGCAAGATTAGTGGCTTTAAATTTCCGGCTTTTGATTTTCTCCGTTTTCTGTTATATGATGTATTAAGTACATGACTTTTAATACTCGACAAGTACTAATTACTGGTATATGATGTGTCTTTCCCTGAAAACGGATAGTGCATAATCCGAAACTTTGAAGAACTTGTACATAAATTTTATGTGCCTGAGGAGTAATCCCGTAAAGTACTTGTCGAGAATCCTCCTCTAAGTATATAGCTGGTTATAGTGATGAAATTAACAGTTCCGTTGTTTGCTTTGAGACAAAATTTTGTGCTAAGGTTTAAATTGAATTTACTTTCATTGGATTCAGTATCACATTTTGAGATGATGCATTTCAGTTATTTGTAAACTATTTTTTATTCAAGAGTTCGATTTTCCGTAAATTTCGAATTAACAAGGCTTTAGGTAGATAGGTGTTTCAATGATTCATGATTTAGGGCACCAAATACAGCAAATTGTAAGCGCGTTTCGCTACCTAGGCCGTAGCATCCTCAGAGCTAGGCTAAGTACAAAGTATTATTTAAAAATTTAGGTAATTTGAATTTTTTCGATCTTTTGAATTTCGAATTGATTAACTATGTTTTACTGAATATGGCGGATGCTCTCTTAGCAAGTACCCAGGCGTCAGTAAACGTGTTTTTTCTGCGAGGCTACTTCCTACAAAAGTACACAAAGATTAGTCGATGATGTGAACTGTTTTTTCACGGAGAGGCAAGCTTAGCCTTACATCCTGTAATAGTGCGATGGTTCGATTGAAGTTGACCATATTGTTATTGGCTGCCTTCTAAACATGTAAGATCACAGAACACCTGAAATTGTGGCCCTCGTTTGCTAAGTGCAGTAGCAAGATTGAAAGAAATGAGTTCTACGGATTTCAGGTTTACGACTGACTGCACTGTTACTAAAAGTTATGGACCAAACGTTCTTGAACGTTGTTTAGATCAACCATAAAGTAGATTTCAAATGCCGTACGCTGTTAGAAGGCAACGTGATAAAAAGAGGTCAATATGAAGCCATACCTGTTCCTGGATAAATGTGCGTTTGGTCGAGTCCACGCAAAGTTATGGCCAGTGGCTTTTTCCTAGTGAAGTTTGAAGATCTATCATTCCTGAAGTAGAAAGATCCTTTACTTGAAATAGGGAAATATGTACTTGTATTGCTTCTTTATCTGGCCGTTTCAGGTTTCATGGCAGGCCCTTCTGTAGTAATTATGCCCGAAGATTGAGTATTTCGTTCGTGCGTTGGAGATCATCTTGAACACTGAAAAATGTATACAGGCGGTTTATTTATACACAGCGCGAGCACACAGATTGATCAGTTAAGTGATTCACACCAGTACCGACGTTTCGGCTCGTTTTTCACAGACTTTCTTCGGGGTAGTTGGAGTTGATTTCCGCAGTTGGTTCTGTGGTCCACAGCTGTTGTGACATTGGAGAAAAACAAACCCTTGCTTCTCAGAGAACACTGCGAAAAGGACTTAGTGATCGTGCAACACGCAAGAGATAGGTCACGTCCCCCCAGTGGTCAGATTGCACAGAAAGTAACTGAACAAACAAATAACAGAAGTCTTAATTGTCCAATCCTGTTGTTCAATCCAAAGAATGCCATCCGCGACAAAGGATGCGAACTCTGCGCGGATTGGATATGGCCTATCAAGCCCGTAATCAAAAAACTACTCAACCAGCAACATGGGCCGAAAGCACGCCTTTGTTTACAAACGTCACAACAGCTGCGGACTACAGAACCAACTGCGGAAATCAACGCGGACCACCACCGTGAGAAAGGTCCATGAAAGGCGAGTCAGTATTGGTTAATCACCCGATTGACCAATTCGTTTGCTAAATAATAAACCGTTTCTGTACATTTTTTAGTAATTGTGTCCTACCGTATTTATGTGGTATATGAGGTTTGATTTACTTAGAAGTATATTTTCTCACCGAACTCTGTGTCTAAATATCGACCAGTACAAGTGATCGCACGCCAGGATGAATTAAGGTACATGTTTTTTCTAGCTGCTGTGAAAGGCCTGTCACAGATTCTGAAATGTTTGATCTTCGAGGGTAACAGAACGGTTAACTAACAAGTCCCATTTTAGCTGTTATGCGCGCAGAATAGAAGGAGATTAGCATTTTTTCAGACGAATCCTTGGTCAGTGCTTCGAACGTGTTGGTTAAGTTCTCTTCAGAAACAGATTAGATACATATTTCTGCCTGTCCGAATCAGGTTGTAATTTGAATGTTCATCTGCATCCACAGGATAGGCTGAGGGATTCGTTTGAAAAATAAATGGATCTACTATTCGTTTAGTTCGGTAACGGGGATCAAAATTTATTAAAGTACTTCAGAAAGTCATAATGGAACCGGCCAACTCAGAAACACGCAACGTATTTTGGATGGAGTGTCTTTTGTCTTTCGTTCTTTTGTTTTTTGTTTTTCTGTCTTTTGTCTTTCCATAGGAGATATTCGCAGTGCAGACTGTCTTAGAAGAGCCACTAAATGATCGCTTTGGGACAGGCCGCCCATCAGATAGCTTGATTATTTAGAGCACCTCAGAATTAAGCGCCGTGGAATCCGTACCACGGTTTGTTGATTTTATGATGCATCGCTACTACTGTAAAGACCTGAAAGGGCTGACTCCGCGATTCGAAAGGAATGACGAAATTAAAGATAAATGAATCTCTAAGAGAAAGTTGAACAAAAGGCGATCGTTCTCTCCTCAGTTCTGTAGCTGCTAGATTTTC